CAAGTAACGAGTTCACTTCCAAGTGAACAACCCGATAGTCTTCTTCTTATCATAGCATACCAACCAGCGAACACCCAGCCAAGTTTAGTTAGCCAGTTTGAGTATTCGTTACAATTCTATACTTAAATAAGTAGGTTTTATAGTTAATCCTATACTTAATTATATAAAGAACGTTAGTAACTCTATTACTATAGAATAAGTATAATAATTAAATACTAATGTAACGAATACTCAAACTGGCTAACTAAACTTGGCTGGGTGTTCGCTGGTTGGTATGCTATGATAAGAAGAAGACTATCGGGTTGTTCACTTGGAAGTGAACTCGTTACTTGTATCAAAGATGTCAAACTAATATGATAAGATTGATAACTAAGTTGAGCACGAAGCTCCTATCTAATGGCAGACATGCCAGTCTTATATAGAACCTTCGTTCTCTGAATATCGCTGTCCCTGACTGTCGCGCTGCGACAGCTCGCTTGCGCGCGCTGTCGCGCTTTCATCACGTGACTATGAATACTAAGAAATCCCTGGATCGCTTAGCTAGTCTAAGGATCCCTATTTGCTATAAGGTCTTTCTGATGTGCTTGTCCTTTCAGGGCGCCGCCTGGACTTCACTTGTCCCGTGCTAACACGTGATTCGTGACAACTAAAGTAGATATATATAAGGTTTACTATAGTTGTCACGGATGCCAACAAAGGATAAAGTGTATACAGCTTTTGAATCAATTGCTAGAACTAAAACCGTAGGTACGAAGAAATCAAACTAAAGAGAGAAGAGAATCTGAAAGGAGCGAAGTTATTTAAGTTGTTCCAATGCCAAGTCTCGTCACGTGCTTGGCCAAGCGAATGAAATCCTGTCAAATGAAATCCAGCTCCGTCACAGAAGGATTAAAAGAGTTAAAGGAGAAAGAGAAGGTAAAAAGAGTATAATTACTTAGTTAAGTACTTAGTTAGATAGAACTAACTAAATTATAGTATAGTACTAAAAATTAGTTATATAGACAGAACCTATAAAAATTAATAAATATATAACAATATAAAAAAAACTTTTATAGAAGCTAAATAGTAGTATATTTGTTTTATTATAATAGTCTAATTTATATGTAAATTAGGAAACTTTTATATAAGCCCTTAGGAGTCCTCTAACCTATATAAATCTAAGATTTTTACACCTAGTACAAATCTCTAAATTAGGTGAGCCAAACAGGCCCTTAAAAACACCACCCCTCGGCTCGCAATAGGAGAAAAAGAGAATTAGATAGCTCCTACCACCTCGACCTTGTCCGCCGTCTCACCCTAGCATTTCTTGAAGAGACGTTTTACCGCAGTATTGGTTATGTCACTGTATCTAGATTTGAGCTATCAATCTGAGATTTGGTCCCAACCAACTCCTAGTTTCAGACTTCCAAAACAATTGCAGATTTGTAGCAATAATTAATGACAGTGGGGGCTTGACTGATTCCCCATTGCTCTCAAAGTTGAAAAGGCAGGTTATTTTCGCCAACACACTGCCACAGAGCTTCAAGTCCTCAACAATTTGTAAATAAGTGGATGAATAACTCCGTTACAAAGCTACAGTCTAATATCCCAGCTTCAATACTTTACAAATATCAGATACCGATCTCACCACCAAACAAACCCTCCCAAAAACAGCTTTGAACCGTCATTCATCCCTAAGGAAGGTTGTGACTTATTAATATTACCAGAAGACAAACCAAGTCTTACCCATTTGCACCCAGACAGGAAACACCTCTCATCTCCAACGTGATCCAATATTCATATATGACACAAGGAAAGCATTCAGACACTCATATATACTATACCGCCACCATTCAAAACCACATTATCACAGTAAAACAGCCAAACAGCCCCTTCAACCATCAATCACCAACACCAAACCATCCTTTCCTTTCCTTTAGGGGGTGTTTGGCTCGTGCAATTTAGAGATTTGCACCATATAAAAAGATTTGCATGTATATGTTTTTAATTAAGTTTTGTATGCAATTCTTAATTTGCACGCTTGTTTGGATAGCTGTATAAGTTTTTACTAAAATAATTATAAATCCGTCACAAATCTAATTGTAAATCTTTTTAGATTTGCACTAATAACAAAACTTATAAAAATAACTGAAGCCTTAACCCTTTAGTTCTTTTTTATTTATACAAATCTCCGTGTAAATCTTTTAGTCCTACGTACTATTATAGTACTAAAACCTAGTTAGATCTACCTAGCTCGCTTAGAACTACGTCGATAAACAACCCGAATTATTACCTTAATATACCGTACCACGAGTCTGATCCACGTACTTTATTAAAAAGACGTCAATTGCGCGATAAAAGAAGAGAATTAGCTATTTCGTCGCCGTACTAGGAGTCTAGGCCTCGGCTAAATATTTCCTATAAAATTACGTCAAAACTCTATAATACACTTCTAAGCTTAGGGGGGACGAATAGATAGTAGAATTAATCGAGGGACACCTAAAACGTATAAGAGATAGTCTCTATATTACCTAGGAAGCCTTTAGTATATTAGTAAACTAACTAAATTGTAGTGTAGTACTAAAAATTAGTTGTACAGACGGAACCTACAAAAATCGACGAATATACGACGATACAGAAAAAAACTTTTACAGGAGCCAAACAGTAGTGCATATATTTCGTCAGAATAGTATAATTTGCATGCAATTCGGGAAACTTTTGCATAAGCCCTTGGGGTCCTCCAGCCCGTGCAAATCTTAGACTTTTACACCTGTTTTGCATAGAGAGATTTGCGTAACCAAACACCCCCTTAATCAAAAGTCCACCCAAATTCAATTATCAACCTGCGCAAGACAACAGAATTTAGTAAACACAACAAAACCAGCCATCAGGTTTTATACACCTACAACCAGCAAACCAACTTACCAGCCCATTAAAACCAGTCAAACTTACCGGCCTCGCTAACACACAAGACAAAACCATTTCGTGTAGTCTCCCCCCAAATATGCCCAAGCCTATATAATTACCCCAGTAGCCCTTTCTTTCATCTCACTAGAGTAGTTAGATAAATAAACGAATAAACATATTCGATATTTTATACGAATATGAATAACTAAAGTTCCACAGAATATATTCGAGCTTGAATACAAATAAAGAAGATTATAGAACAAAATAATAAATGAACCTCTAAAATCTCGAGTTATTTATTATTCTATATATATAATTAGTAAGTTTTTTTAGGTACGGATTCCCCGGATATTAGACCTATTTTTAGCTTATTCCGCTACCTACCGGGCCTAAAAAGCAGGGCTATTAGTAGTGTTATAGATCTAAAAGAGGGCTAGTCTTAAGGAGGAACTTAATACCGTTTTAGCTTGTTTTTACACCTTTATTTCGTACTCCTTAGCTTTTAAGACCTTCGCTTTCAGGTTAAAGTCGCTCTTCGTTAAATTAAAGGGGTTGTAACAAGGAAGTTTCTTACTAATTACTATTAAGACCCGGAATTACTTTTGTCCTCTAATTACGAATATATTCAATATTCTAAAGAATATATTCAGAATAATCAATATTTTTAGAATGTGAATAAATTAGAATATAAATAATCCTAAAAGGCTGGAATAAAATAAGAATATATCCGAATATATTCGTTTATTCATTTGACTACTCTACATCTCACACTGGTATACCTACCGACTCAATTCCCAGTACACGCACTCTAATCCAAACCCCTACACATATTAAGATCTAAATAACCATCTCATCAGGACTCTTAGAAGAGAGGGCGGAGCGGGATATCTACTTATAATACCAATCTCAATTTTAACTCCAATACATTTCTATTCTATCCATATAACAACAATCTTTCTTTCTTCCTTAGATAGCACTGTAGTAAAAAGGTGTCCGAAGTATACTGTAAGATACCTGGTCGATACTCTGTCTACACCTCTCTTAGAATAAATGTATCCCAGAAACGTCGCACAACTAAAATAGTTATACAAAGAGCTTGAATAAATGTTAACTCTTACTTTTCACTGACCTAGGTATCCTAAGACAGTTATCCTACTTGTGGTACAAGTTTAGTAGAACAGGGTTTTATATAGTGTGTACAGAGTAACGACCAGGTGTCTTATCGTACAGTACAATAAGTAAGTAAGTAGAAAGAGTAACCTTCCACATAAGCCGCCCCGTAACAAAAGTCCAGTAACATCCTCAATTCAATTCAACGAACCTCAAATAGCAAGTCGCCTCCTACTACTAGTAAGTGAATACAAATCCCCAACATAACCTAATACCAACCACTCAACCCATCCAATCAATCACACGTCATCCCATCAATCACACGTCGTCCCATCAAACAAACAATAAGACACATAAGATGACCTTCTGATAATCAACTCAGATGACTTTCTTTAATGACACATTCCTAACATACTTCTAAGATTAGATGGAAGGGCTGTGAATCACACCTCCGTAGTCACACCTTGTAATCAGAAATCCACATCATATCAAAATCGCAGTGAAAGAGTGTACACTGCAGGTGGAAGGCAGACGTACAAGGGCTTAAAAGTGAAAAGAGAAGGAGAAAGCATTCATTCATTCACATTCACTTGAAGTAACAGGTGTCAGACAGAGCCTTGTTTCCATAGCAAGAACATGAAGGATTGGGATGGGGAAATTTCCCTACCCAGAGTTGTGGAATATGATGTCTGATTAAGTTGGTGATGCAATGATATTAGCCAAGATCCATATCCAGGATTCTCATTTGAGTCAACACGGGATATCGCAAATTGAGGGACTACTGTAGTACCAACCACCATGATACCTTCTCCTGATTCGTACTATCCCTCCAAGGCTTCGTTAAATGATAGACCGCCAGAGAATACTTAAAACAGAGAAAAGCGAGTCAATACAGTCACGGAATAGCTCAAAAGACACGGAATCCGGGAAAGCAGACATTGTTCATTGCTACCTGCCTAACCAGAGGTGCTGTTCATGTAATCTTCGGATCATCAGGCCGTCGAGGCATATTATTTACCGCACAATCACTTTCGCGTGCATTGCATTCCCGGGTAATCATCAGTGTACGAATCTACATACGATCTGTCAGAGCTCGCCAAAGGATCCCATGTTGGAATGTGGTAGGTGCATCGTAAATCGGGTTCGTTTCGAAGGGAAGTAATGGTATCATATCTAGAACTGATCTGTAGGCGATACCGTGAGTATATATAGGAGAGATTGGAAGTGGAAGGGAAAAAGACATACCCAAAGTCATACTCATAGAAACATCCGTATTCTCCACCATCTTTGTAAACTCCTCAAAGCTAATCTTGCCATCGCGATCCAAGTCCGCCTCCATAATCGTCTTATCCACAATCTGCTGCAACTGTTGGTCCTTCAAGTTACTTCCCACCATCATCTTGAGCACAATGAAAAGCTCCCCATTACTGATATATCCATCCCGATCAATATCGTAGACCTTGAATGCGAAGCGTAGTTTCTGCTCTTTGTTCCCCCGGGCTGAAAAGGCGGAGAGCCCCGAGACAAACTCCTGGAAATCAACGTCTCCACCTCCGTCCTCGTCGAAAATGGCAATCATGCTGGGAAAACGTCAGTTTTGGGAGGAATTCGTGGATACTAGGCTGTACCGACCGAGTGGCTAGGGGGTTGGAGGAGATTTGGGGCAGACTCAAGAACTCTTCCCGTTCGATGGTTCCAGAGTTGTCCTAGGCAGTGTGAGTATACCGTACTTTCAGTAGACGGAAAGAGGGTTATGCGAACCTTGTCAAGCTTCATGAACCGTTTGCGTATTCTCTCGACCTCATCGCGGTCAACTGCCTCGTATTAGCCCACAGCCTTGCATGCCTGATATACAACGGGGCGTTCGCATACAGTTGGATCCCTGAACAATGTTCTCCAGCATAGCACTGCTGGCGTTACCCATCTTGAAAGTTGTGGTATCGTGTCGGTGGGTGTGGGTAGTGAGGGGTGGACGGAGGGAGTTGGAGGTACGAGGACGGAGTAGGCGATTGGAGGGAGTTGGAGGTACGAGGACGGAGTAGGCGCCTGGGAGAAGTGACCAGCGCTTAAGAACTGATTTAACTGTCCGAAACTAGACCGTGGATGGGTATCGAATGACTAAGACAGGAGAAGTGAAGGCGAAGTCGTAAAGTATTAACGCCCTCGAAGGGTGGTACCGTGAATCGAAATTGGCTGCTGGATACTCCCTGATCAAGCAGGCGAGTCGGCGACAGTGTCGTTCAGGCCCAATATCAGATTCCTTTAGCGACAGCGGTGGGTTCGGCCCAAAGCGGGTTAGCGTGCGGCTTTTTCTTGGCCTTAGGCAGGTCTTCACGCAAAATCAAGCCGAATCACAGAACAAGGACCACCACAATGCGCGATGTTGCAGGGAAAAGTTTTGCATCATTGAACGACAAGCCATCAACAAACGATCTTCTATCATCAACATAGCCACAACCAACCATGTTGTTGTGATCGGAATCTCGTTTCCCATCGCAATATGACCCAAATATCCTCTGCCCAAATTTTCTGCGTGAAAAAGTCGCTATCACGCGCGGAAATTCTCGCATTCACCCCGTCACACAACCCGCTATCGCCATGCGGCCCCAAGCTCCGAGAGTCGTGAGGCAACGCAAACTCAACAAAAGCGTGCCCCAACCGGTTCTGAGAGAAGACCAGATCGAGTCTGCTGAGTTTGACTCTCTTCAGAATCAACAACACGTCGAAACTGGGGTAGAGCGGTCAGAAGAAAATGTGAGTTTCACGTGATGTCATGACTTAGTCACGTGTCTTACCCGGATAATGCATTGTTCGCTGACTCAATGATGATCAGGAATACCATTTGCAGGCCGCCTTGGCAGCCAACTCGGCCAGAACAGAGAAGGATGAGGAAAAAGAGATCCCTGCGCCTCCAGCACAGGAAAGTACTGACATCAAATACGATGAGCTGTACACTTTGCAATTCGTCCGCCCTAATACTTACATTCGCTTTTCCGATACTGTCGAAGAAGCGTGCGGTTGTCCATATGACATGACAACCGAGGACGACGTTTTTCTGAAAGGGTATAATCAAAAGAAAAGTGCGAGCAATCGATGCTCAGAGGATGACTTTGAGAAGATAATGGATGTTTTTGAACTCACTGCTCAATCCCAGGCACCTTTCGCATCTGTTGACAACCACGTCGTCCCTTTTGAGAGAATGAAGCCGGAATTACTGAAGACACAGATTGGCCCGAATGGACTACCACTAAAGCAGAATATGGTCGACAAGCTCTTGGGGTTCGCTAAAGATATCTACGAGCACTGGAGGGAACGAAGACGCATCTCGGGAAATAATCCAATCCAACCAAGTCTGAAACGTGAGATACACCAAGAAAATGATGATGCCGATCCGTATGTGTGTTTCCGTCGTCGTGACGTCCGGGCACCTAGGAAGACCAGAGCTCGTGATGTGCAGAGTACCGACAAGCTGAAGCGGTTGAGGAAAGAAATCGAAGATGGTCGCGCGCTTGTTGCAATGGCATTGCAGCGTGAGAGAACGAAACGAGATCTTTTGAATATTGACAAAAGTATCTTTGAACAACGTACGAAACTCAAGGAGGCCAAGATTAGACTCGGTATCAAGGGCGATGACGAGGATCTCATCAACCAAAAGGTAAAACATCTAAATCCTGATTTAGTGACCATCGCTGACTCAGAGCAGCCACAGAAGAGGAAGATTTCGGATTTCGCTCCCAGCATGCAGCGTCCACCTCCAGGTCAGCAGCTACGCATGCCGCCTCAAGTTGATGGACGTATGCTCAATACTGAACTCGTGCAATTGCGTGATTTGCTTGCGCAACGACAGCGTGAACTTGACAAAGAGGTCGAAGAAAAAACCATGCAGCATCGTGTATGGAACCAAAATCACATCGACGTAACCCGAGAACCCCTCTCGCCAGTACATGGGCAAGGATCCGATACTGGTTTCCGTCCCGCCACAGCCCAGTACCAATACTTGATGACGCCTCCTTCTTCTGTGACTTCAGAATCCTTTGATCATCCATCTCCCGGCCATGAAAGTCATGAACCACTTACAGTCCGATACAGTAGTCCTCCCCATGAAGAAGAAAGTCGGTCACAGCCAGCATATCGTAGGCGAATTGGTCGTGGCGGACGTCTGTGGATTGACCGTAGAGGCATGTCTTCGGCAGCGAAGGGAGCTGTGGACGAGGTTGTGTTTGATCGATGGAAATTTGATCAGGACGACGATGAAGAGCAGCCTGTCTATGAAGTAGACCCATACGACACAAAGGCTTTACGGTTCCGTGCTACCATACCATTCCCTCCTCATCTTTATCCTCAACATCCTAGACAGGACAATAGAAGCCGACCTCCTGGGGCTAGTCCGTTGAATAATCGGACAGTTGCAGCACCCGCGGTAGCGGTACAGCAGCAGCAACCGCCAGCGCCAGCACCGACTTGAAAGGCAGCATAAAATAAACAAACAAAATCCCACGCCGAATCGGCTCTTGTACATCACACATCTTCTTTGCGGAACATCATTTCAGAGGTGTTCTGATCGGATTGGGGGCGTTACCCGGGGGGTTCAGGGCTAGCAAGGCGTTGTTGTGAAAGTAGACTTTCCCTGCCCCATGGACTTGTGCAGTTCATGAGCGACTTTGTTGTACTTTAGCAGAAGAAAACTCAAGAAACGAAGTCTCCATAGGAGGACTTCATTAAGAACGCAGCTTCTTTAATAGAGCATCTTTCAAAACATTCCCGATTGTTCTTGTGATTGTGATGAAACTGGGGTTGGTCGGATGAGTGATAGGTCTTCAATTGAATCGTCTTTTTTTTGTAGGATGGCAAGTGTCGTCGGTTTGTTTTCGGCCGTTGGCCCCTTTCGAGTCGTTACGCGGCGATTCTTGGCCAATTCGCATGCGTTTGTTTGCACCCGAAAATGAAAATGCCTCATTGACGGCACCCCTCAGAACTTTCTTTTCTCCACGCCGGACTTGAATTGCCATTTCGGTGCGCTTCGGAAGGTTTCCAGCAAGCATCAATTTCTCGTCCTCTTCCATAGTAGTTGCGTACTCGTGTTCTCGTCTTTGGATCAATACCGCCAGTACTTGGCCCACAAGCTCAGTTGCTATTTTTGAGCGGCTGGGTAGGGAAGTCTTTGCCGTAATAATCGCTTCCAGATTGTCCTCATCTAAGAGGAGTAGGTACATCAAGGCAATAAGTTCGTCTGAAACAGCCGGGCCATCTTGTCCACTGTGGACGAGATCATAGGTCTCATCGAGGACGCCTTCCCTATCTGCTAAATTGATTCGTTTTTCCAGGTCGCCGTGGCTCAATGGATCCAAGTGACTCCCATTTGGTAGGCTCAATCGCTCGGCACCCAATACTGATGTAACAAGTGATGTTGATATCTCGGCAACATCGTAAGAAGAGTAATCCTCCGTCACATAACCATAGCGGCGTAGTAGGTCGGACCTTGGAAGCTGGCCGTAGTCATTCAAGATTTCTTGGCCTTCAGAAATGGGCTTGATGGTTCTCATTTCCAAATCTTCATTGTCACAACACAAACGTGCGTTGTTCCGATCTGCGTCTGCGTTCAATAAGTCCGCAAGTGGGATCATGGAGAGTATGGTTTTCTCGTCTTCTCCATCATCTGAAACCAAATCATCGGCCTCCCCCTCCGCAACTCCGGTATCTTGCTTGGAAGTTGACTCTTCCGGGATATCGAATGCGTAGGCCATTATGATTGATGCAACTCGGTGGTACATATCGCTGTTATACTCTCCAAGTCCTAGTGGCACGAGGTATTTGGAGAACATCTCCTCAGCACCCGCCCTCCCGATTTTCCCTACGACAGTGCTGGCCTGTAGCTGCGCAAGCTCCGTATCGGACCAGAATACCAGGCTATCGAGGTTCTTGGGTAGGACTGCAAGATATGGCGCCCATTTCGAATTTGGTTGTTGGGCTTCGGAGAGCAAGGCCGCTGTCAAGGCCTGTGACGTGGTCAGCATATGGCCCTCCTATCTTGGGCTTGCAACACCCACCAACCAAGGAGGCATGCTAGCCAATGCCTCTCTGCCCGAGTTTGCATTGTCGCTTGCAAAGATGGTATTCATGTTGAGAACAAGATTCCGCGGTATGCTGAAGATAATCTCGTCCTCTTCGAAGGATGCGGCGGCAACTGGAAGAGTGTTAGAAACATGCGCCGGAAATGGGTTGGAACTCCTGATCCGGAAGAAGAAGATGGAAATGGAGAAATAGCAGTATATACACTTCCCCTCCATGCTTCCCGGATATCAAGAAGAGGGATTGAAAACTCACCAACCCCACGTCCGAGGCCTTTTGACCTGAGGTCTTTCACCACCATCTTGGGATTAATGCGCACGCCGATTTCCTCCAACCAGGACAGAAAGGCCTCTGTAGCGGCTTGGAAATTGTCCTCGTCCATATTTGAGAAGTCGCTGCGCACGTCGCAAGCAGAAGAGGACAAAGATCAAAAGAGGGGAGAAAGTGGGTGGGTGTACTCTGAGAGTTGTGAGGAAGAAAACAGCGGCAACGAACTACATTCTGCCTAAGCGAAGTGGCAGGGCAGGCTAAGTTGCAGGGGTGGCGGAACACTGGCAGGATTTTTCTTTCAAACACTCAGAGAAATCCCCGTGGCTGGTAGGACTTGGAATTGGTACATACAATTCTTCGTCTACATAGTTGCTCTACTCTACTCTCCAATTGTTTATTGCGCATGGATTTTCAATTTCCCTAAGCTTTTCCTCTTACGCCATTGTGCCAATCTTATCGGCGATTAGGAACAGCCTTGAAATCACTGGACCGAGAAAGCGGTAGAATGCGGTTCTACCTTTCTGGATCCATCAAAGCATTTAACAAGGATTTTTGGGGCCTACTTGAATCAATTGTCCTAGGAACTTCAGTCAATCATGGTGATCATTCCAATTGACGAGTTAAGTTGTGAATTAATCCAAATAATTGGCACGATGAGTGAGTCTTACTGCCGCTTTTAAGCCCACCATCTGCGGAAGGTGGGGCAGGGCTATCGCTACCTCTACCTCAAAGTTAGGTTTGCGACAGGCTCAACTTGCACACCTTCAACACCATCTACTCTATCCCTCCATCCACAACAATATGATTTCCATAGGACTCGAAGGTAGCGCCAACAAGCTTGGAATAGGAATCATATCCCATCCCGCGCCCGGAAAACCCGCGTTGATTCTCTCCAACCTACGCCATACCTTCAATGCCCCGCCTGGAGAAGGATTCCTCCCCAAGGACACAGCCAAACACCACCGGTCATGGGTCGTGAAACTTGTCAAGCAGGCCATGGCGGAAGCCAAAGTCTCAATCACAGATATCGACTGCATCTGCTATACCAAAGGCCCAGGCATGGGCGCGCCATTACAAAGCGTTGCGGTCGCTGCGAGGATGCTCTCATTGCTGTGGCAGAAGGAGCTGGTGGGTGTGAATCACTGCGTGGGACATATAGAGATGGGGAGAGAGATTACCGGCGCGCAGAACCCGGTGGTGCTTTATGTTAGTGGAGGAAATACGCAGGTTATTGCCTACGCCGAACAACGATATCGCATATTTGGGGAGGCTTTGGATATTGCGGTGGGCAACTGCCTCGATCGATTTGCGCGGACCCTCGAAATTAGTAATGATCCTGCGCCCGGATACAACATAGAACAGCTGGCGAAGAAGGGAAAGGTTCTTTTGGATTTGCCGTATGCTGTGAAGGGCATGGACTGTTCATTTTCCGGGATATTGGCTAGTATTGAGATTCTTGCTGCTGAGCTCAAGAAAAATCCTGAATGGCGGGATCCGATCACTGGAGAGGTCATCACCACTGCAGACTTGTGTTTTAGCTTGCAGGAAACGGTCTATGCCATGCTAGTCGAGATCACGGAGAGAGCAATGGCCCACGTGGGTAGTCACCAAGTGTTGATTGTTGGTGGAGTGGGTTGCAACGAAAGACTTCAGAAGATGATGGGATTGATGGCCAAAGACCGTGGTGGAAGTGTTTTTGCTACCGACGAGCGTTTCTGCATCGACAATGGGATCATGATTGCCCACGCAGGTTTGTTGGCTTACAAAACCGGGTTTCGAACAGCCCTTGAAGAAAGTACCTGTACGCAGAGATTCAGGACAGATGAAGTTTTCGTCAAGTGGCGAGATTGATTTGAGCGAATGATATTCGATCACTTCCTGCTCTGGAAACTATATACAAAGCAACCGAAAGGCCTAGTAGGTTATTACTTCCAAATCTTCCAGATCTCATAGCGCGATGGACAACCCATGCAACGATACCGTACCATCTGCAACCATTGGCCTGAAATTGCTCTCAAAAGTCCCCGGAATCATCATCTTCCTCAAGAATGGTTTGCCTTAGCAAATCTTGCTTCTTTCCACGCCTGCCTCTGTCGAGCCATATCGTTTGCTTCCTGGCTGAGGAACTGCTATCTCCAGTCTCAGAATCTCTCAAAACGGAGGATTCCCATGCATCCTCCAACATTCTCTTTTCCCTTGCAGCACGCACCGAAGCTGCGGATCGGCCTTTTCCTTCAGGTTCTGGTGTCAGATTCAGAAGTGATATCAAGGCACTTGATGATAAGTGGAGGATGGAGCCTGTGACCAGGCCCACCAGTGCTGCAATACCGAGATAGATATAGACGGTCTTGACATGGGTTAATTATGATACTTGTGATGGTCCATTGAGCTTACCTCAAACTTGGCCAACACTTTCACCGGGAGCAAGCAAACAGATACCACATAGCCTCCGAGGTGGATGAGTGGCGCAAGAACTATCAGTAGAATTTGATAGAGAAAGTTGAGGGGAAGTAGCAGATATGAGAATATGCGCATGGCGCTTGTGGCAGCCTCTAACCAACCCATGCTGGGGATGCGTGTGTTTGTTCCGACTGGTGAAGACCTGATGATGGATGATGAGAGGCCAGTATTAGAAGCGGAAATGGACAAGTAGCTGGAATGGAGGCATTGTTCACTCGTACAAGTAGTTGAGATTCATCATATTAGAAGACGCTCAGGGGGTTTAGTTGCGCTGTCGAAGTGCATTGCCTCACGTGCATCGGTACTTGTACCTGTGGTGAGGGGAAATTAAGGTATCCCTGTCGAGAAGGGCTGCCAAAATGATTAGCGTGCTCGTGCATTCTGGGCTGCTGCTGCTTCCACGGCACGGCCACGGCGACCGACCTACGGAGCCGTACAGGTACCTCGAGCGTACCTACCGAGCCCACTACCACCGACCCCACGTACCGAGTAATCTGGCTTGTGCTTGTGGCGGGGAGAAGTGGTGAACGCTGCGCTGCCCTGGCTGCCCATGGCCCGCCGCCTGGATATAGCATCAAACTGGCGTAGTACAATCCTCCCCAATTTTTCGCCTGCATCGCATCGCATCGCATCGCATCACATCCTCCCTCCCTCCATCGTCCTGCCTGAACCTTCACCCGCACTCTCCTCAAGTTCGCGCTCCGCTCCGTCCTGCTCAGTCTTCTACCCCCTTCCCTTCACCTCCATCGCGCCCGCAATTCTCTGCCCGTCATTCGCAACTGCCCCCCTCTGACTCGCCCACGTAGAGTCGCCCTCCTCATCCTCATCCTCATCCTCACCCAAGCACATTACTGTAAATTCTCTGTCCCACGCTGCCTCGCTCCTCAGTCTCCTTGTCGCTCGCCCGTTCCACAACTCTTTTGCATCGCCCTGCAACCACAAACCACCTCAGAGGTCCCATGATGCTCCTCGATCTCTAAACAAAACAAGTCACACCTGCACACGCATCGCATCTCGACAAAGAGAAGATAGCCTAGATAGCGCAAGTTAGCCAAAATGGGAAATAATCCGTCTTCCAACGTCCGTCCGCCAGCGTCTCATTCTGCCTCACCCTCCCCGAACCATGATTCCTCTTCGGAAAAGTCCTCCCGAAGAGTAATTCAGAACCAGCGCTCAGCCGCGGCTCCTGAACCATCTCTAGCACAAGCCCGTGGCACCACCATCACTGCCCATCGTCCTCGTCCCTCACAGTCTGCCCCGATCTCACACTCGGGGAACCACCCAAGCCAAAGCGCCCCAACTCCTCTTCAGTATACCAGCGATTCGCATGCCGCTGCTCAGCAAGCAAGAGAGCCATCCAAAGACATTCCACACCAACCAACGAAACCCGTTGATGTGCCAGTGCCAGCAGCGAATCCCGCCGATACCTCATCTTTAAGATCCTATTCCCAGTCAATCGAGCCCTCCGGACCACCAGATATGTCGTACCACCTCACTCGGCCTCCTAGGCTACCCCTCCCTATTGAGGAGGAGGTACATACGCCAGGCTCGCCAATAATTGCACCCGCCGATGTTGATATTCCAGCATTGGATATAGAACCACTCGATGAAGTTCTACCTCGGCGATCTTCGGCGCTTAGCAATACCACAATTGACGAGGAAGACGCTGAGGAGCTGCGAGTAGATAAAACAAAAGCAACTGTGCCAACGTCCCTCGAGTGGTTGGAGGGGAAGGGAGGGGAGAAGGTCTATGTGACAGGCACCATCTTTCAATGGAACAAGAAGCACCGACTACACCCAGTGTAAGTACAGGAACTTCACCTTCAAGGACCGCAACACGATTCTAACATAAACACCTTAGAGAAGGAAAACCTGGAGTATACCGTTCTTTCATTCACGTTCGTCCAGGAACCCATCATGTCAGATTTATCGTTGATGGTGTAATGCAATGTTCCAAAAACCTCCCAACTACAGTCGACTTTGGCAACAACCTCGTCAATTATATTGAAGTCAGTGCCGATGATCTCCCTAAAGATACTCCAGTTACACAGGAGGCAGCAGGAGCTCCAGTCATCAGCCCAGAGGACCAAGTTCCCCCGTCCAAAAAACCCGAAGTCACACTCGAAGATGATGATCAGTCCAAGGCAGCAAAAGCACCAAAGGCAAAACAGGTCTTGCCTCCCGGCCGGTATTCCTCACAAATTCCACAGTATCTTCTTGATCTCGATAAACCTGAGGACTCATCAGCGTACCAAAATGCCGCAGCTGCAATTGAGAAACTTCCCACCCCACCTAGTCTGCCCGGCTTTTTGGGTAAACCCATTCTGAATGCTGCTACTCCAATGAAAGATGACAACAGTGTCTTGACCATGCCTAATCATACGGTTTTGAATCACCTGGCCACTAGCAGTATCAAAAATAACGTCCTGGCTGTCTCTGCGACGACGAGATACAAGCGGAAGGTTTGTCTTTATCTCATTTTTGAACACAGATTTTGGTACTGATTTGATATCTTAGTACGTGACGACGATAATGTATAAACCAACGGGTGATGATTGAACATGACATCTACTGGCTTTCGGTGACGAAAGAAAGAAAAATGGTGGCACAGTTCTACACACACGCTTTCTCTCAACTACCTTCATGAAATACGACCTACTAGGGATCGTAACAGACTGTCGCTATGAATGTAGAAGTTTTACGAGGGATTTTACTGGAATGGTGCAATGGGATATGGGACATGGGACATGAGTACAATTCCAAAGAACTTGCTCATATGCAGTGACGAATGGGTGGGTGACTTCTCTGCAATTTAGCACAGGTTCAATCATGGGGGAAAGGACGCAGGATAGGCAAGGGGAAAAATGGAAAGGACAAACTGGGAATCTCACACCTACTGATTTGCAGCAGTATTTTGACTGCCATGATGATATGCTTCTACGCATTCTTTCTTCGGATCTGTCTTTTCTCTAGCCAACTTTTTTTTTCTTCAATAATACTACAATTGAATCAAATCCAACGTTCGGCATCTGGAATTCCTTTCCATTCCAGACCCCCCCTCTAGAATAATTCCATTCCTTTTAGGATTTGGCTGGAGGTATTGCATGGCGGAGGTATATATTCCATAGAATTTATAGAATCTCCAGCTAGAATTTGTCACATGACCCAGAAAAATGTCCCTTTGCTCTGGTTGGCTAGTCGGAAGCTCGCATTTTAAAATAATCTAGATTATAAAGCGTAATATAGAGAGTCTCTAATCCTTGTCCTCTTTAATTACAAAGTAAACGTAACTATTTAGGTATAATACTAGTATTCCTATTTACTTGGATATCTTTTGTATACTCGGGTAAGTATTACGTAAGTGCGGACTATTTTTTAAGTTAGTTTAATAATTATATTATTTTTACTTAAAACTACTATAACCTACCCTAAACCTCACGTTTTAATTAGTCAGAAAAAGCCTCTAGAATTCCATAGAACTCCTAGAATTCCAGAGCCTAGTTAATAGAAGGATTCTATTCCATTTTATAGGTACTCTAGAAGTATTTCATGTAGAATATTCCACCTGGAATTCTATGGAATATGGTTCCATTTGCCGAACGTTGATCAAATCATCTTTTGCTTCATATATGTTTTGACCGACTTTTCTCCCTAGGTAGAGAGGGGCTTGACTTGGTGTTCACCCGGTTATGATGGTGATTCCCAGTGGGCAAGTAAAATAGCAGACCTCTTTTCTCAACGTTCGGCACATGGAACGATATTCGCATCCTTCTAGAGTACTTTTATAATGAAACTATTCCATTCCATTACTTAGTCTCTCGAATTCTAGGACTTCTCTAAATAATAGAAGGCGACTTATATAACCTTAAAAATAAAAAAATAAAAAAAGGAATTCGAAATTTCAAGATATCAATGATTGAAAGATGTAGGCAGGCGTGTTGGGTAAATATAGTACTAGGTAGGGAGATAACCTTGATCTAGTATGAGAGTAGCGTGGTGATTATTTAGGGATTTGGGAATGTAGATATCTGGATGTTTGGAACTGGATGTAACGTATAAAATTATTAAGATAGAACTAGTAACTCAAAAGAGTTAACGCGAGGTAGTGTGTTATAAGTAAATACTTATAAGCTTCATTGAAACATCTTTTTTCCTCGATCTCCTTTCGTAAGATTTATCTCCCAAAGTCCGTAAACCTCTCTAAGAATTTCCTAACAAGGTAAGAGGCGGGCATTACTCTATACAGTACACACATACCTAAGTTATAAAAGAAGTATTACCCTAAAGACCTTATATAACCAACTCATTTATAAAAATAGTCTAGAAGAACTAATGCTTTTCACTCCTAGTTAACCTATGTAAAATAGGATAATTGATTTACTTGTGTCAGACTTTTGGTATTAACTTTTAATAGTATATATAAAGTAATACCTACTTCTCTACTATCCCCTTCACACATTATGAGATTAAGAATCTTTCGTTCGATATAGATAAGTAGGTAGATATAACATATAAATTATAGAATTGGTGACTTTGTGAAAACTAATATAGCGTAAGTATAGTACTTGGTCGAAATATCTTCTTTGCCTGATCTTCTTCCAAACCACCAACGGTCCACGGTGCACCAGTCTTTCGCCTTCAATTCTTCAAGTGAGCTTCTACAAGCCGAGTAACGCAATAACTCCCTCCCCCCTAAAAACAAAAAAGAAGAAGAGGAAGATCACCAAAACACCACAGTATATACTAAGTACTACAGTACTACAACAAACTCCCCCTCCCCATCCTTTCTTCCCCTTTTATAATCAACGACATCTCCACGAAACAGAAAAAAAAAAACAGGACAACATTATACTACAATTTTTTTTGAGAACCTCACTTTGGCAGGAATCCGTATATTCACACAGTCAAAGAACTCACAAAGTAACTTAACCCATACCTATAACCTCCTACGTACTGAAACCCAGAAAGACCAATCTTCTTACCCACATATTCAAGCCCAAGCCCGCAGGGCTCTGAAAATTCCCGAAAAAAGGGAAAGGAGAAGGTACCTAAATAATCAGATTTACGGAATTGTATAAGCAACCCGTCTGTGGATAGGGACCGATTAAATGCGAGGAAGACCCACCCATCACCTCCACTCATACCATAGACCAAAGAGAAAGAACAAGAAAGGGTAGAAGAATTCGAAGGAAAACCCTCCATGTCATCTCAGATTAAAAAAAAAGGTTCCCTCAAAATCTCTAGGCCTAAGTGTAGGTAGGTTACTGTACAACCCCCTCCGCGCCAAATAGTGTACAACATTTTTGCCCGTCAATCCCTCGCCATGATCATACACGCACCGCTTCTCCACCCCCACAGAAGACGCAAGCGAATCCTCTCACCTACTCAATTCCCATATCCATAGTCACACCCTCACCCATCGCCGCATCCTCGGCTCCAGGAACACCCACCGTCTCCCCATTAGCAGTGCCCACCTCCACATCGACCTTGACCCGCTCCGCCTCCAGAAACCAAGCCTCCTCAACCGCAAACTTTCTCCTAAATACCCTCAACCACCTCTCACCCCACTGTCTCACCATTGCCTCCTCGCCAGTCGATCCATCGCCTGTCTCCATCGCCTGGTCCTTGGTTCCAGTTGCCCAGCTGACAAGCGAGTCCTCCATGAGTGTGAACAAATCCTTCATACTCTGTCTCTCAAGTCCAACCGTCTGTTCCATGGTGAGTTTCTGCTCAGGTGTGAGACTAGGAACGTGTTTAGCAGAGACGACTTGTCGAACTCGGTTGGTGACTTTGCCAATTGTTGCACCTACCATTTCGTAGACGTAGGGTAGGGCGAGTCTTCGACCGTTATGCGCGACAGCCCATTCGATAACGCTACTGGGGCTGAGAATGGTGTAGTTGAGTAGCTTGTCGACGATGTTAACTCCGATTCCTGGTTGATCTTTCCAGTATCCCATAACCGAGTCGATGATTTGAGATCTTGCGTCAGAGGATTGCGGGCCAATAGCGAGAAGACGCTCTCGGCAACGTTCAATAGAGGACAACACATGGGAGAGTGATTTCGATCCGATGAAGCAGATTGCAGTCATGTAGGCATCTGTGCAAGGTAGCAATGGATCGGCGAAGTTCATATCTAAAGCCAACTGGCGAATCTTGTCCATAATCACCTGGATTTCTTCTTCCGGTGCCTTTTTCTTGAGGAGTTCAAGAATTTCACGACCTTCCTGAGCAAAAGGAACATCTTCAAATGAGTCAGCTCGAATACTTTACAATATTGAAGGGTGATCTTACTGTCATCTTTGTATTTGAATTCAGGAGTATCTTTCTCCTTGCCCTCAGTAATCAATGCCTGATATGGTGCAGGCAATGTACCCTTGATTCGTTGAGCAAAACTCAATCTAATCTCTTTATCCAAAGCACCTTCGATGAATGCCTTTTTAGGGTCAATAGGAGAAAGCTGGACATCGTCAATCCACTCGGTCCATTTCCAAGTGAAACCAAAGTTGCTCAGATGGTGTGCGAACCAGTCCATAAATCTGTAGCCCAGCTCCAAGTCCATCGAATCGACATTTCTGTACAAGAAACGAATGGCACGACCCAAACTAGGAGCAATAGCGGCTGGCGCAATCTTACACGATTCGGTAAGAACGGAGTGATAGTAAACCAATTTATGTTCTGGGTTAGGGAGTTGGAACAGTTGAGAGAATACAGCATCAACAGCTACATCTTCTGGTTTCCAAGTCGATTTATCGCCTTCCACGTCTCTAAGTCGATCGAAAGGAGTCGCTCGCTTAACGAACGTGCCGGGAGAGAAATAGCAATCGATATCAATAAGGAAGCGGGCAGTAGCATTTCGGTTGAAGTCGAGAATGTTGATAGTGTCTACCAAAGCATCGCGCAATAAGCATGACGAAATATCTGTCATCGGTGGTACAGTCTCGACGTCTTGATGCGCGTAAACCGAAAAGTAAAGCTCTGGAAACAGGGGCCGTGGACCTGGAATGACTACATCAGGGATGACGATAGTTGGAAGAAGGTGCTTCGTGGTAGCTGCTAGGGGATTCTCTTGCTCTGTCTCCAATAAAACCTTCCAAGGTCTTGGTAGACAGCTGAGCTCCCATTCATTCGAAGCCTCATTCTGAAGTTGCTTTTGTAGAAGGCTCAGTACGCCGTTTGGCGCCGACGCTTCATCGTTACCATTTCCTGGGTATGGATCGACCAAAGATTGCAACACATGTGGTTCCGAAGCAATAATATCCGTGTTTTCCACCATTGCTGCCGCCTTCTCCTGCTGACTTGATGCCGAAGAAGCCATAACGTAAGGTATGGTAAAGAGAACTATCTTTACCAACTCCGGACCAATGGTCTAACTCCAGTGTTAGCATAGTCCCACTCGTCCCCTGAATAGAGCTTACCTCTTCATTGTTTTCAGTCTGCAAATCCACAGCTTTCGTCAACAAATCCTGTAGAACGATCCAAACTCCATCGCCCTCTAATAAACCTTGAAGACCTCCCAGAAACTTCATCAGGAGCTTGACCTCCCTCCACTCTCCTTCCTGAATCTTTTTATTCGTCCGGGCCGCTGTGCGATTCAAAACTTCCATAGCCATCTCACTTTGCATTGTGTTGATAACCAAAACAACAGCTGCGACGAAGGGCGTCTTAAATGGTTGCTCAACAACCAATTGAACCACCAAGTCGTAAAACACATTGCGCAATTCCTCGTCCTCGTAACTGTCGCAGACAGTTTTCGCGATCGAACTAATTTCATCCTCCACGCGCCTCATAGGATTTTCGGCAATGGCAAGAAGTTGTTTGCGTACTTTCGCCGATAAGGGTTCTTCGTATCGCCGTCGTTGAGGTCGTCGATCGTGATCATCTTCATCTTATACATAGGACTCGTGTCAGCCTCGCCATGATTGTTGCACCTATACACGTTGCGCCAGGAATTGTGACAGCTTTAATTTACCTCTGTATCTTCTTTTCCGATTATTGTTATAATTTCCGCGTCCACCGCGTGGTCTCTGATCATAGTCCGCCATTATGGTGGAGTTTTGTGAGAGCTGTTGGTGGAAAGCTGGTGTTGAAGTCTGATGTTCCCCCAAATTAAAAGGAAGGATTCCGTCTTGCCTTGGCTTTCAGGCAGGACGGATACAATGCAAAGTTCACGTGATATAAGGGGCCAATTCTGAAACCAACTATTAGGTTGCCAATAGGAGTGTTGTTATTTCTAAATACTTTTGTGTACTGGCTAAGGGAAGTCTTTCAAACGAAGGTTCTTGCCAGTTGAATCTCTGTCCTGCAAGTTTTGATATAGTAGTTAATAATGATATTCCTACGAAGTCAGCGACTGGTAACATGCCCGGACTGTAGCAAGAAGATCAAAGTATTAATCAGTATGCATAAGTAAAAACGATGTTACTCTAGAACGTATCGTATGATAACGTCTAATACAATAACCACAGCTAAGCTATGATATCAATCTGAACAGTTTGACATGCCGAAGAGTACTAAATTCGACGAAATAGATTCAACATAAGCCAGGATTGTCCAACGTCCCGTTTAGCATGGGCTGCCCCTCTTTTACTGTACTCGTAATCTGTGAGTATAAAACACAATAAACGCTTACCTCGAGGAACTCTGTTTTGGAATACACATAATGTTTCGCATGAATCTCTTGTCAGCACAATATCAGAGAATTAGTCAAGTAATTTTAATGGTGGTTGATGCAAATCGAATTTTCAATGACAATGACAAGTCTCGAGTTAACGCTTCGTCCATTCACTAGTGCAAGGAAACAACGTGAAATAATTAAAAAGGGAATTGGAGTTGAATTGAGTATCGGTCTCAGTTGTGGAAATCTTCGATGATCGCTGCGATCAGCCAGCCAGCCCCTTTTGACAGCCAATAAAGAGGCACAACATTGACCCAGAGGTAATAAGGAAAAAGGAATCTTTTGACCGTGCCTGCCCCGGCTATCGCCATACACTCGCAAATATTAACCCAGTCCATGCAATCATTCGCCCGAAAAAGTGTGCCATCAAATTTAAGTACGCCAGAATCTTTGGATGTCGAGAAAACGGAAGACCAGCCACCCATCTGCTCTGCTGTCATAAAAAAAAGGGCGCCGATAGTGGGACAAGAAGAATAGAAAGCAGTAAACACCCAGGTTTCGATATGCAGAAAGTCTAAAACGAGGTTTGTCGACTAGAGAGCTTCCGATCAGAAACATCAATCCATGGCCTAACCCTCCAACCCGAGGTTTAGACAAAAGTACTTCGCCGTCGGAAACCGAAGAATGCCATTATTGAAGGGAAGGATTTCGAAAAAGAATTCCACCTCGTCATTGAGGTATTCTTGCAAAACCGTAAAGCATACCATCATAGATCCCGTATTCTCGCCATATATCTCGGTATTCTCACAATCCATTCTAGCCTGCACAATTTATAGAAGAGTTCTTGCCGGGCTCGAAATATGCTGATGTGGTATGTGGCCGGTGCGAGAGAGACGCGCAGGAAACATTAAACTCCTAACAGAGTCAATTACCTAGCGGCAGGAAAGCATTTAGTCGTCATTCATCTGCATAAAATAATCAATCCAATCGTGCCATCATATCTGCTTTCGCCATTGGAGTGAAATTATCAATGTCCATTCCTCGAGCAGCTAATCCTGCCTTGACGTGTGGCGGAACCATTCGAGAGTTGAGGTGAGGAGCAATGGAGAGTTCTGAAGGAGGGTTAGCTGAATAATCATACAGTTATGGGGTACCATGTCGCATACCATGACGAGTGAAGTCAAACAAAGTAGGTAAATCCTTGATAGGCCCGTTAGGGTGTCGTGAATCGGGCAGTCTGGTTGAAGGGTCTCGCAGCTCATCGAAGAAAGGATGAACCATGGCGTCGATGGCCGAAAGTCGCTCTGTGGGTGTGTATTCTAAAAGGCAGGAGATGAGGTCGATGGCATTCGCATCAGCCTTACGGAAAACCTTGTTGAATGGATGTGGCTTGATCTGGGGAAATTTGTGTTCCATGTAGTTTGGATTCATGGTGCGGATTTGATCGCGAGTTGGTGTTCCGAGCACCTTGATGATTTCGACCAGCTGATCGATCCCAGATTCTCCGGGGAACAAAGGTTGCCCAAGCATCAATTCTGCCATGACACATCCGGTGGACCATACATCTAAAAACCATCAGAAAAATCCAGGGGGCATTTCAATCAGTCAGGATATAACTCACCAATCTTGGTTGTGTAATTGGTAGCCCCGAAAATCAACTCTGGAGCTCTGTAGTAGCGGGAGCAGATATAAGAGACGTTTGGCTCATTCTCTACCAATATCTTGGCACTACCAAAATCGCAGAGTTTGAGAACACCACTGCTAGGATCCAACAACAAGTTTTGTGGTTTGATATCGCGATGGCAAATTCCTTGGGAATGGATATAGGCAAGGGCACGGAAGAGTTGGTAAATGTAGAGCTTGACTTCAAGAATGGGCATGGTTGTCTTCATCTTGTTGAAATATCTCGAGGCACGGTAGACAGTTTCTGGGACATATTCTTGAACCAAGTTGAGGTATACTTCATCCTTCTACGAATATCAGCCTTGCCTTTTGGTCCACATCAGTGCGGGGTTACGTACTCTCTCGCCGTTGGAATAATAAAAGGCCTTAAGTTCAACAATATTGGGGTGGCGAACGATACGCATGATCTGGAGCTCCCGGTTCTATCAAAAGTTAGCCGTCAGCCGACACACGCACACATGCCCGTTGCTTTCCGCACCTTGAATCTCTTGTCCTGAAGCACGCGCTTGATGGCGGCATCCTCGCCGGATGGGGAGAGCTTGGTCTGGAAGACGACACCGAAGGATCCGTTGCCCACGATCTTGCACTGGGTGTATTGCATATCTCGAGTCTCGCCGGTGACACCATCCTGAACCTTTTCGCGGATCACCTCTAACGAGTGTGAGTTAGCAGGTGGTCGTACCGACGACGATGGACGTTGGACAGGGCACTCACCTCCCATTCTCAGACTCGAGAAGGCTGCCGGCCGATTCTGCGACATGTTGAGCTCCAAAACAAAATCTGCTATCGCGAATGCGGGGGGCTAAAGGCGAGCAGAATGGAGAGGAGAAGACTAGAGGGCCTCGTGAAGTCCGTGAGGGGCAATTGATTGCAGGGCTGGTGTTGTAGAAGGAAGACGTCGACGACTCTGGGCGATGGGGGTTGCGGGCGAGCGACCTGAGGAGCAGTAACGTGACAAGGTGTCCCACCAGGAATTGAAGATCACTTGAGCGGGTGGTTTTTCCTTAGCGGAGCTGGGTCCTAGAGGATAGACTTGGATTGCGATGGCAGATTTGGGTTTGGAGAGTTGGATATCTGTTCGAGGGGTGCGAAGCGGTGGAATGTTCGTCCCATGCAAGCAGGCGCACAGTTCAGGTGAGGGGGTGAGATGGATGGGGAGGTGGTTGAGAATAGGATAGTTAGGTAGGTTTGGAAAGCGTGGAGAAAGGTAGGTTTGGGTGTGAGCCTGTGAGGGAGTAAGAAGAGTGGAGCAGTGTTAGTGCTTTAGGTAAGGTGTCAGCAGGGCACTTTGGTTTTGTCTCATAGGGCAGCTGCGACCAATGAATTGGCCCCGTCATCTGCGGGGAACACCAGCCAGACACCAGCCAGACACCAACCAGAGGTGATGGCGAGTGCAAGTGCGCGCGTAGGCATAGGAACACCGCAACAACGCTTGCAAGGCGCCTGTCTGAAAGGGGCCAGTTGCAGCACCGTATCAGATCATCCCGCCAGCGTTAAGCGTGAGCGCGACTTTTGCTGGTCCCTCTGGTGTGCTTGGGTGCTCTACGAGTCCTCTCAACCGCGCAGTGCCATCGGATTGCGGGTGCAGCCTGCACTGCGTCATCTGACCTCAACTTTTTTGGACTGCCCAGGTGCACTGCACTGCACTTCCACTGCGCCTGTGCCTGTACCTATTCACCACAGGTCCGTGTGGAGGGGCCTAGCTAGGCTAGCATGGCTAGGTCCTGGGAGGCAGACGACGGGGATGAAGAGCCCAATGGCCATCTGAAGGCGACAACCAAGAAGCCACCAGCTCCAGAAACGGGGATTTTCCCGCGGCGACGTTGCGAAAGGCACAGGAATAGGCGATGGTACCTTGGGCAGTGCTTGGGGCAGAGGCCGTAGTGAAGTGACACCGGTGAAGGTGATGGCGATGGTCGTCCCCTTCCACCCAATCTATTGCCTCATAAGCTTAAGCCAAAAGAGGCGTTGGTAACCCTTTGCCTTTGCCTTTGCTACAGCATCACAAGTGAAGCCTTGAAGCTGTGAAGTCGTGAAGCCATAAAGCCATAAAGTCATAGAGCCATAGAGCCATAGAGCCATGAAGCCTCGAGGATTTTACTTTGAATCTGAGCTTTGAACCTGTCTGAATTCCTCTGAGCACCGCACGGAACAGCCACGCCACGAAATTGCCAGAAGGGTACAGTACGGCACTTGAAGCGTCTCTGATGCTCGGCGCTCTCAAGAAGTCCTCCGTACTGACACTCACACTGTAGACCGTGAGTCTCGCTTCGAGTAGCACAACACGCAAAGTTCCCCTGTCGACAACCGACAACCATTTTTATAGCAGCAGCCAGGAGAGTCCTCCGCTCGCTTTAGGAAATAAACAGTGCCGGTGATGTGTCAATGCTACGCCCAGCCCCGGAATGATAGACGTACTGCCGAGGGATCCTTCATGTTCTCTTTCGACGAAGGACGGAAGTACAATTGCCTCCGCACGCGGCACTTCTAGGTAAATAAGGAATTGATAAATTAACAACTGCCCGGTCCTTCAGAATAAGAAGAATCCTTCTCCTACCCTTTACAACTTTGGACCATTCCGACGCCTAATGCAGGTGTTCCTAGTCCGTAGTGACCAATTCCGCACCCCCTGGGGGCCGAAGCAGTGCGGTGCGGTGCGGTGCTTCGATTGCACCTAATCACGGGCGGTGTAGCCAGGCCAGCTTGGGTTCGTTGAAATCCAGGCACAATCACGAGCTGCAGACTGTGAACTTTCCAGGTTGGCTGGCCATGGATTTCGGGAGCTCTACAAGCACACCTACACCAATTGGTAGGTTTATACATACGACCATACGACATACGGCCATACCACCACACCTACACATACAAGATAGCCGAAGCTGCAATAGAGAACCGGGAATCTGCTCTGCATTGAAGAATAGCCTCAACCTTCCCAACAACAACCGCTCTGTTAGCATAAACGTCCCTCAAGTCATCTCCATCACACTGGGACCGTCCCAGCACCAAGGGTCTCCGGTTCACGTTGAGTGACGGTCTGTTGGAATAGGGGGAGATGGGCTTTGGCTTGCATGGAAAATAAAAGCGGCCGTAAAAAACTCTGGTGGGCCTGGCAGCCGAGGACAACAGAGGCGTGCATACGTAGACGTGAATATTCCATAGGTACTCCGTACGGTAGTCTTTCTATCCATACGGAGTACCCATGCCATGCCATGCCCATACCTACCTCTGGTAAACGTCACGATAGTTACATAGTCACTACCGTCTAGCGCTCCCAAAATACGGAGCCGAATCAAGGCCCTAAATGGCAAATTCAAATAGAGTAAAAATGCCTATTTTGTGCTTCCCCTACCTACTGTACGATGGCTGGAATCTCAAAGTCAGTACTCGAGTAGGTAGTGACCTGGCTGGCTGGTTGGCTCACGCCCCGTGCTTTAGCGCTAGTGTACTACCCCTGCGGCCGTGCATCCTTCGCGACTGGAAGAGTAATTATTCTGTCTCCTACTCCTGGTTTCTCAACCTCACTCCTGATAGATTTCGATGCACTTGATTGCTGTTTGCCTGCATCTTTTCTGCAGTGGTCCAGCTTCAGATTAACTCCACGCTCTCTTCGTTCTCTCCTTCCGACTTCCGCCGCTCGCTGATGCAGGTTGAAGTTCTGTTGCGAACCCTTAGACTCAGCAGCTATTCTGCCCGTTCTTGAAGGACGTTGAAGAGGACCACAAGGCCCCGTCCAAGCAGCCTCAATGGCGCACAACTACGATGTCGGCACCAAGGCCTGGCAGCCAGATGTCACTGATGGATGGATGGCTTCCGAGGTCACCTCCAAGACGGCCGAGGGGGACAAAATCCTCCTCGTCTTCACTCTGGCCAACGGTGAGGTAAGATATCCATGGGAATGGTCCGGACAGAACCGCGGCTGACGATCTGGTATGGCAGACCAAGACGGTAGAAACGACGGAGGAAGAACTTGCCTCTGATGACCAGTCGAAACTCCCTCCACTTATGAACCCGACCATGCTAGAGGCTAGCGATGACTTGACGAATTTATCACATCTTAATGAGCCTGCTGGTAGGAACCCCCCGATACGATGACTAGGGAGCGTGTGCTGATCTCCCATTTTAGTGCTCCAAGCTATCAAGCTTCGGTATTCACAAAAGGAGATTTACACATACAGCGGTATCGTTCTTATCGCAGCCAATCCTTTCGCTAGAGTGGATTCATTATATGTGCCTGGAATGGTACAGGTATACGCGGGAAAACAGAGAGCTACACAGGCTCCCCATTTGTTTGCAATTGCAGAGGAAGCATTTGCGTAGGTTCGCCTGCACCATATCCGGAAAAAAAACTAACGAGTTTCAGTGACATGTTACGAAGTGGAAAGAATCAGACTGTAGTGGTCTCTGGAGAGTCTGGTGCTGGAAAGACTGTGAGCGCGAAATATATCATGCGGTACTTTGCAACAAGAGAATCCCCGGATCAACCAGGGTCAAAGACGAAACGGGGAACAGAGCAGATGAGTGAGACGGAAGAGCAGATTCTTGCGACGAATCCCATTATGGAATCCTTTGGAAATGCGAAAACGACACGAAACGACAACTCGTCACGATTTGGAAAATACATCGAGATTATGTTTGACGATAAAACCACGATTATTGGTGCCAAGATTCGCACCTACCTTTTGGAACGATCAAGACTGGTGTTTCAACCATTGAAGGAGCGAAATTACCATGTTTTCTACCAACTTTGTGCTGGTGTGACGGAAGAGCAGCGCCAACTGCTTCAATTGTTGCCAGTGGAACAATACGAGTATCTTAACCAGGGAAGTGCTCCAACTATACCCGGGGTAGACGACAAGTTTGAATTTGACTTGCTTAAGAAGGCAATGGGAGTAATTGGAGTTGATGAGGCTCAGCAGACAGAGATCTTCAAGCTTCTCGCTGCTTTGTTGCATCTGGGAAATATTAAAATCACGGCTTCGCGAACGGATTCCGTCCTGCCACCGGATGAGCCATCCTTGTTGATAGCTGCGGGAATACTCGGGGTTGATCCCGTGGAATTTGCCAAGTGGACCGTTAAAAAGCAACTGATTACAAGAGGGGAGAAGATTACCTCGAATTTGACGCAACAGCAAGCAATTGTCGTCAGAGATTCCGTTGCCAAGTTCATCTACTCGAGTCTTTTCGACTGGTTGGTAGAGAACATCAATCGAGCTCTCGCAACCGACGCAGTTTTAGCACGTGTCAAGTCGTTCATTGGAGTTCTTGATATCTACGGATTCGAGCATTTTGCTAAGAACTCTTTCGAACAGTTCTGTATCAACTACGCCAACGAGAAACTCCAACAGGAGTTCAATGCCCACGTGTTCAAATTAGAACAAGAAGAATATCTCAAGGAGCAAATCGATTGGACTTTTATTGATTTCTCCGACAACCAACCTTGTATTGACTTGATTGAAGGAAAGCTCGGTATTCTCTCCCTCCTGGACGAAGAGTCCAGATTACCCATGGGTTCCGATGAACAGTTCGTTACCAAACTACACCATAATTATGCTGCAGACAAGAACAAGTTTTACAAGAAGCCTAGATTTGGAAAATCCTCGTTCACAGTTTGCCATTATGCCGTTGATGTTACATACGAGTCGGACGGTTTCATTGACAAGAATCGTGATACGGTCCCCGATGAGCATATGGCAGTCATGAGAGCGTCGTCTAATGAGTTTTTGGGACAGGTTCTGGATGCTGCATCAGCAGTTCGGGAGAAGGATACCGCTTCCGCTGCGTCAGCTGCAGTGAAACCAGCCGCCGGTCGTAGAATTGGAGTAGCCGTGAACCGTAAGCCTACACTTGGTGGTATCTTCAAGTCATCGTTGATCGAGCTCATGCATACTATCAATGGTACCGATGTCCACTACATTCGTTGCATCAAACCCAACGAGAGCAAAGAATCTTGGGTATGGGAAGGGCCTATGGTTTTGAGTCAACTTCGAGCTTGTGGTGTACTCGAAACGGTTAGAATCAGTTGCGCTGGATACCCCACAAGATGGACCTATGAGGAATTTGCTCTTCGATATTACATGTTGACGCCATCTTCGCAGTGGACCTCTGAGATTAGGGACATGGCGAACAAAATTCTTGTCAAAGCACTTGGAGCTGGAACCGGACAAGGTCTCGACAAGTACCAACTTGGTTTGACCAAGATCTTTTTCAGAGCCGGTATGCTTGCTTTCCTGGAGAACCTACGAACCACCCGGCTCAACGACTGTGCCATCATGATCCAAAAGAACTTGAAGGCAAAGTACTACCGCCGGAAATACCTCGAAGCACGAAATGCTATCCTTTTGTTCCAATCTGTCACCAGAGCTCATCTCACCCGAAAACATGCTCAAGAAACCAGAAAAATCAAAGCTGCCACCACTATTCAAAGAGTTTGGCGTGGTCAGAAACAGCGAAGGAGTTTCTTGGCTATTCGAAACAATGTTATTCTTGCACAAGCAGCTGCCAAGGGTTTCTTGCGCAGAAGAGAGATTATGGAGACACGTGTTGGCAATGCCGCAATCCTTATTCAGAGAGTCTGGCGCTCAAGACAACAAATGAAGACTTGGAGACAATACAGACGCAAGGTTGTCATTATTCAGAGTTTGTGGAGAGGTAAACAGGCACGTCGTGGATACAAGAAGGTCCGTGAGGAAGCACGCGATCTCAAGCAGATTTCCTATAAGCTTGAGAACAAGGTCGTCGAGCTCACCCAATCCCTTGGCTCGATGAAGAGAGAGAACAAGGCGTTGGCCAGTAAGGTTGAAAGTTACGAGAATCAAATCGCCTCGTGGAAAAACAGACACAATGCTTTGGAGACCCAATCAAAAGAGTTACAGAGAGAGGCCAACCAGGCTGGTATCACAGCTGCACGTTTGTCGGCAATGGAAGACGAGATGAAAAAGTTACAGGTCAGCTTTGACGAGTCCGCCGCAAACATCAAACGTCTACAGGAAGAGGAGAAAGAGCTCCGTGAGAATCTCAGAATATCTACTCTGGAGATTGAAAACACAAAGAAGGTTAGCTCTGAACATGAAAACGAGAAAAATACCCTCAAACAACAACTTGTCGATCTTCAAGATCAACTTGAGATGGCCAGACGTGCTGTGCCAATCATGCCTACAAACGGGGATGCTAACGGTACTGTTCAAATTCCTCAGAACGGCCTCATCAACCTGGTCTCATCAAAGAAGCCTATGAAGCGTCGCAGCGCCGGTGCAGAACCTATCACTCAGATTGACAGAATTAGCGCGGCCTACAATCCTCGTCCCGTTTCCATGGCGGTCACAGGAAGTAACTTGCAGAGACAAGCCCTCACTGGCTCTGGGTTTGTTCCAGGTGTTGACAATGTTGAGTTTGAACTTGAGAACTTATTGGCTGATGAAGATGGACTGAATGACGAAGTCACAATGGGCTTGATTAGAAACCTTAAGATACCGGCCCCAACAACGACTCCTCCACCAACCGATAAGGAAGTCCTTTTCCCGTCCTACTTGATCAACTTGGTCACCTCAGAAATGTGGAACAATGGTTTCGTGAAGGAATCCGAAAGATTCCTTGCAAATGTTATGCAGTCTATCCAGCAGGAAGTTATGCAACATGACGGCGAGGAGGCTATCAACCCAGGTGCTTTCTGGCTCTCCAATGTTCATGAAATGCTTTCATTCGTCTTCCTTGCCGAAGACTGGTATGAGGCGCAAAAAACGGACAATTACGAATATGATCGCTTACTTGAGATCGTCAAGCATGATCTTGAGAGTTTAGAGTTCAACATCTACCATACTTGGATGAAGGTTCTCAAGAAGAAGTTGCAAAAGATGATTATCCCCGCTATCATCGAGTCCCAATCTCTTCCTGGTTTCGTCACCAACGAGAGCAACCGATTCCTCGGAAAGCTTCTCCAGAGCAACTCTGCCCCAGCTTTCAGCATGGACAACCTGTTAAGTTTACTCAACAACGTCTTCAAGGCGATGAAAGCTTATTACCTTGAGGACTCAATTATTACACAAACTGTAACCGAGCTTCTTAGATTGGTTGGTGTCACTGCATTCAATGACCTCCTTATGCGAAGAAACTTTTTGTCGTGGAAGCGTGGTCTCCAAATCAACTATAACATCACTCGTATCGAGGAATGGTGTAAGAGCCATGACATGCCAGAGGGCACTCTCCAGCTTGAACATCTCATGGTAAGTTCCTTTCTCTACAACTTAAAGATAGGGCGCTACTGACTCCTCTTCAGCAAGCAACAAAGCTTCTCCAACTGAAGAAGGCCACCCTCAATGATATTGAAATCATTCAGGATATCTGTTGGATGTGAGTTTGCTAGTGCTGTCCCTGAATTGAACTCTACTAATAATGTCCAGGTTGTCCCCTAACCAAATCCAGAAGTTGCTGAACCAATACCTTGTTGCCGATTACGAGCAACCTATCAACGGCGAGATCATGAAGGCTGTTGCCTCTAGAGTGACGGAGAAGAGCGATGTCCTTCTCCTCACTGCTGTTGATATGGATGATAGCGGACCATATGAAATTGCCGAGCCACGTGTTATCACCGCTTTGGAGACATATACACCATCATGTAGGTTACCAATCCTTGTTGCCCTTTAACCGCCGCTAATTTTCTCTCAGGGCTCCAAACTCCTCGCCTGAAACGTCTTGCAGAGATTGTGTCTGCTCAAGCCATCGCCCAACAGGAGAAGATAGATTTCCCAGTAGAAGAGAATAACGATATCACTGACGACGAGATGAATGGGCAATAAGCAGCTCATCTGGACATCATACTCCAACTCAGAATTGCGGCCATAATTGCGGGGCACATTAATGACACCTTTTTCTTCACTTCTCCTGTACTATTTTCCCCCGACCATTGGAGGATCGGCACGCTCAAGAGATGAGTATGCCCGAGTCCCTTTTGTATATTGGGAGGATGGATCTTTGATTCTGTATTGCGTATGTAAAGCCATGATGTGGGACTAGTTAACTGCGCTGGGAAACGATTGCACGATGCTGTTTTGGCGGGTAGAGGGCTTGGAATGGAAATGGACGAGCATCTAGTGCATTGTGTAAAAAAAGCAGCTTTCTTCATTTTTACCTCTTTTGGTCTTTCTTCTTCATCCGGCGTTGAAATCCTCGGGTCCTCCCTCTTCCTTGGTTTTTTTCTTCTTGGATGATGATATGAGGATGTGTAATAGTAGGTAGAGAGAGGCTTCTACGATACGTCTTTTTTCTTTCTTCTTACTACTTAAATAAAGAATGGATAGAACGGGGTTTTCTTGAGCGGTTCTTCTGGTGGATGGATTTTTCTCTTCTTCTTCTCCTTGGTTTTTTACTACGACTTTGCCATTTTTGGTGAGGGCGTTTGAAGTGAGATGAATTGAATGATTTTGTCCCTATAAGAGTCTATGTATTTGTTGAAATGTGTGTCTGGTGAGTTCAACAGATGACGAAGTTACGATATGACTTTGCCCTTTCGTTGTCGGGTTCGTGGGCATCGCTAAGATCAAGGTGCCTTTCATTCTTTCTCTTTTCCTGTTCCTTTTTTAGAATGCCCGATTTCTATAGATTGTGGTCTCCGTAAGATACCCGGTCGTTACTCTATAAATACTTTATTAAAAGTTCTTATATTAACCTTCTAGTACAAGTGAAAGAATTGTGTTAGTATACCTAGGCTAATTAAAGGGAAGCGGTAATAATTATTCTAAATTCTTTATATGGCTATTTTAGTTGTACGACGTCTTTGGGGTAGTTTTATTCTGAGAGGTATGTGATAATTAGTGCGTCTTCCTACGGCGCTGTCGCTTGTAGGATACTTGTAGGATAGCAGGATAGGTAGAGCTCTCATGTTAAGATTGACGGAAGCCACCTGCACCCCTCAATGCCAAGACCTGGGGTTCCCTATCTCTTATCGATAAGACAACCTTTTTGCGTCCGGGTCCCGCCCTGCCGGACTCGTAAAAATTTATACCCCTCCATCCACCCATCCATCCTCACCTTATCCAATTCGTCTCCCCTCTTCGCCCTTCCGTTCCTGTTCCTGTAGCTCGATCTATTTCAATCGCCACTCTACTCTACTCTCCAAAGAAACCAACTCGACACCAATCCGAAGACCCATCTCCCTCGCAGTCTGACCTTCTAGCTAGGATTCTGGCGAAGATCTAAGAAGATGACCAGATCCCAACCCAACATCATCATCACGGGGACGCCCGGCGTGGGCAAGACAACACACTGCGAGACGTTGGCGGAGAACACGGGACTGAAGCATTTGAGTGTCAATGACGTGGTGAAGGAACGCGCGTGTCATGATGGGTTTGATGAGGAATACGGGAGTTGGATTGTTGATGAGGATAAGGTGGGTTTTTTTTTGTTTGGTTTTCTTTTCTTTCTTGGGGGGGTTTTGGGGGACTGGGGTTTGGAGAATGGGGGGGGAGATGATGGAGGGGGGTTGAAAGGATAATGGGGATATGGAAGAGGTCGGAGGAGAAAGAGAGAGAGGCTAATATGGTGACTAGTTACTTGATGCGATTGAAGATGAGGTTAAACAGGGAGGGTATATTATCGATTGGCATGCTTGCGATTTATTCCCCAAGAGCTGGGTTGATCTTGTGGTTGTGCTGAGGGTTGATTCTACGATGTTGTATGATCGGTTGAAGGCTAGGTATTTGTCCCCCTTCCGTAGCTCTTTCCCTTTGCCATCAACCCTTACCTTTCTTTCACCCCCTTGACGAACCATATCTTTTCTGCTGGGTCAATCTCCATGCTAATAATATGGATCGACGTAGAAACTACCCCGAAAACAAACTCCAAGAAAACCTCGACTCGGAAATCATGCAGGTCCTCCTACAAGAAGCAAGGGATTCATATGATGAGGAGGTTGTGGTGGAGTTGTATAGCAATACGACTGAGGAGATGGAGAGTAATGTTGAGAGGGTGGAGGGGTGGGTTAAGGCTTGGAGGGAGAATAATGAGAGGAAAGACAAATCATAATGCGAAAAATGCTTGGAAGTTGGTTTTTTTGATCTAGTTTTTTCTTTCTATGGGAGGGGAGGGGGTTTATGAGCTTTCTTCTAGCCATGCCTTTAGCTTTTCCAGGGCGCGGAAGCGGTGCGAGATTTTGTTCTTTGCGACTTTGTCCATTTCGGCGTAGCTGCAGTATGGCGTTAGATGGCGTTCTTCTTCATTAGGGATGGGTAGGAGGGACATCTTACGTTTGACTTTCATACTCGAAGATGGGGTCCCAACCTTGTGCGGAGTTAGCTATTGTGGACAGGAGTTGGAGTTCAAAAAAGGAGAAGGAGCTTAAGCATAGGTACCGAAATTCGCAGGACCTCTTGCTGGTACTATCTTGCCCTATATAATCAAGTCAGAAACCGAAAATAAGGTTTGGGAAGTTGGGAAGTTGGGAATAGAAGGGAGTTTTACATCAGTGCGACCTTGGAAAATGATTGGTTCGTGACCTGGACCTTCGCTGTAGGCAAATGTGCAGACTGCTTGTGCAGATTTATCAGGGAAGCCAGCGAGCATGGCGTTTAGTCCGTCGTGCCCGAGGGATTGGAGGAACCATTTTCTATTTGACATTCTAATCAGCTTTCCTTCTCTTTAATTTTTTGCTTCAGAAAAGTGTGTTACGTACATATAAGGACCCGGTAATTCGTTTAATGCGTTGAAGCAGAGACAGGTATCTTCCACCAGGACTGGTCCTTTGATCTGTATTAATTATCAGTTTTCAGTTCCCCTTCAATTTTTGAGAATGGATGAGTTGGGTTAGTGAATACGTACCGCCTCAGCGGCTCGACGACATTTATCGAGCGAGATCTCTTCGATTGTCCCTTGGATTTCGATGAGGTCGAGGGCTTGGCTTTGGAGGTCTACTATTGATCCTAGGATGGCTTTTACTTCTGTGAGCTTGTTTTTGTTTCCGGTTATGAAGTTGAGGGTTTTGGGGGCCATGGTAGTGGTTGGCTTTCGTTTTGGTTTTGGCTTATGTTTTTCTTTTTGGTTGGAGGTGTTGGAGTTGTTTGGGCTTTCAAGTTTGAGTGACATAGGTGAGTTGAGTGACCCATTTTTGGGAATCACATGACTGGGGTTTAGGAACGAATGGAAATTCTCCCGTTTTACGATGAGAAATGTTTCAATTCTTGTAAGTCTTATAGTAGGATAGTATCCAATAATATTTGAAGATGAGGTAGTTGGAGATTTCTGTGAGTTCGCGGAAACTATTTTGAAGCGTTTGCATGGTTTGTTCCAACTCTCTGTTTGTGTTTTCCCACTCTTGAACGTTCCCTTTTTTGTGGACAAGTAAGTCTAAGGACATAAATCTCAGAAATTGAGACCATGGTGTCCAAGGGAAATGAGAGTGCTACTTTTATTCGATTTTGATTCTGTCCATCACCTGTAGCATGTGTACCGTTGATAGATGATAGGTTGAATGTATCTTATATGTGCTAAGATAATGGGTATATAGATTAGTCGAAATCTAAGATATAGGTATTAACTGGCTTAGAGTTAGAGACATGGTCATTACTCTGTATACACTGTAGAAAGTTCTCATACTATACTTCTAGGATAATTGAAATAATCGTATTATTATATCTAGGCTAATTAAAAGTAAGCTATAGTAATTATTCTAACCTCTTTATATATATATCTTAGCTATATAATACTTTTAGAATAGTTTTATTCTAAGAGAGAGCTATATAGAGTAATAACTACGTTTCTTTAAATACTACCTATAAGAAAGCTAAAAAACAATAATATTCTAGAATCTAAATATAGGGATTTACTTTAGTATATACTTTTAACCGTTCTAGATTATTTATTAGTTAATACTTTATTCAACTTAAATTAAAGTAAATTAGATTATTTAATAGTATACCCTAGGATTTATAAAACTTATAAAAACTTTATTCGCTTAATTTATAAGTAAACGTACCTAGAGTTAGCTGAATAATAAATAACTTTATATATTTAGTTTAATTATATACTAAAGCTTTAAAGTAATAAATTAACTACTAGAAACTATATTTATAACTCTACTATTAGTAATAAATCTAATAAAAACTCCTCTTTCTAGAATATATAAAAGTAAATATAAATTTAGCTAGTAGCTAATAAAGTAACTAGTTAGAACGCTATTAATAATAATAATAACCTAGATAATACCTGGCTAATTAAACGTTAAAAGTTTACTAAATAAGTTAAATAACCTACTAAGAATAAGGTTTTAGAATAAGACTCGCTAGCTAATATTAGCTTAGTAATAAGCCAAATTATAATATTTTAGAGTAAACTAGAATTAATTCTAAAGAAGAATCTAAACTATATAATTATAAGGTAAATATAACTAAGTATTTAGTAAACTAACTAGTTTAAAAATAAAGATATTTTATTCTTTATTTAGTTATTTATATAAAAAGATAACCTTATAAAAGAGTAAATATATCTTGAGAGTATAAACTAGAATATTTAAAAGAAGTAAAATATTAAGGCTTTAAGAGATAACTAGGTCTTTCGAGAGTTTAGTAAAAAACCCGGAGTTATTTATTAACCTTAGAAAGGTTCTATATACTAAGTTTAATAAAAGAATAGAGTACTATTAGAAGAATACGTAAGATTAGAAGAAATATATATAAAATACTAATACTAATAAGTTATAGTTTTATTGTAGTTCTATAGTTATTTTATAATATTAGTTATTATATTTACTTTATTACTGTCACGAATCACGTGTTAGCACGGGACAAGTGAAGTCCAGGCGGCGCCCTGAAAGGACAAGCACATCAGAAAGACCTTATAGCAAATAGGGATCCTTAGACTAGCTAAGCGATCCAGGGATTTCTTAGTATTCATAGTCACGTGATGAAAGCGCGACAGCGCGCGCAAGCGAGCTGTCGCAGCGCGACAGTCAGGGACAGCGATATTCAGAGAACGAAGGTTCTATATAAGACTGGCATGTCTGCCATTAGATAGGAGCTTCGTGCTCAACTTAGTTATCAATCTTATCATATTAGTTTGACATCTTTGATACAAGTAACGAGTTCACTTCCAAGTGAACAACCCGATAGTCTTCTTCTTATCATAGCATACCAACCAGCGAACACCCAGCCAAGTTTAGTTAGCCAGTTTGAGTATTCGTTACACTCTATACCTTTACCACTTTGTAAAGAATAAAGGATACAGGATAGGTTATATAATTACTTCAAAAATAATAGCCGAAGTAAGCTAGCTATGCGCTGAACAGGTGTAATCCGGTCCGAATTATGTCTAGGTTTATATAAGCCCTAAGCGTATCTTCAACGTTGTACACTAGATAGTAAATTGTAGCGTTTT